AGTAGACTGGACATAAACCACACACTTGAGGTGTCATTGTCTCCTATTACCCCGAGATGGGACTGTCTGATTGCAGAAAATCAAGCTCGGGGCTGTGGTGAGTCATCATTTTCATGCACTTTGAATTTGCGTTGTATCGTATTTTGAAGGCATTAAACATTGCCATAGCGATAAGAATGTTGCGACCAGATTAGACGCTCCTTGTGTTTATTATTATATTTCGAAAACACCACAGTTTTCATGCAGCTCATACCATATTTTGTTGTATTAATCCGCCACACCTTAAATGCCGGTCCCTGAAAATATTGTCTGACATAAACCGGTCCGTGGGGCAAAAAAGGTTGGGGACCCCTGCTCTAATGAATTACAATGGCTACCCCACTGACTTTATGGGTGGTTCTCACTACTTCCACCACTCGAGGCACTGCACTGAGCTGTAATACAACACTTCCATCACTAGGGTCACTGCACTGCACTGTAATACAATTACTGGGGGCAGAATCGTGTGGCCTCTCACCGATTCTGCTTCCTGCCCAAACAGCAGGCCATACAAACAACAGAACAAAACACAACAGCGGAGACATGTTGAATGAGCTCAAATGCCACCTAGAACGGGTATACACATCCGAGATTGAGACAGAGGAAGCTGAAATGTGCCAATTTGACTTAATTGACATCACCTGGGAGGCACAGCCAGTCTGCAATTTGTCCAATTAGACACGTGACGGCCTATATGGTTCAGCCTTTTGGCTGGCTCAACATGCTAAAAAAAAAAAAAACACTCATTGTATCATGGTAACTATTTAGGGGTCTCTAACATAACCCCCCCCCGCCCCCCTCAAAAAAAAAATTAAAATAAAAAATAAAACTGACTCAGTTGCATTCCACTGTAAAAAAATAGCCTCTATCTCCAGTTTGACTGATTAATAGTGAAGGATCCATGAGGCCTCATGACGCATGTTGACACAATGACACACTGTGTTGATACTGTGTCGCTGACCACTGACACCTGCTGGACTTTCAAAATCCCTACAGGCAACCCACTTGACAGGCTGAACTGACTGATTTGATGATGAAGTGTATACAATATCATTCACATGTATGTATTCATATTGTATTATACAATATGTTTGAATAATGTTAAAATTATGTAAATGAGGATGCTTGTGCCTTGTGAGCTTTGTCTTCACAAATTTTGATTCAGAAAAATAAGTTGCTGCAGTATTTTGAATTTCAGTCTGTTGCGTTTGTTGCATGCTATTTCCCCTGCTGTGGAGAACACACACTTGCATGGCACTGGTGATGCCGGCGTACAGAGAAACTGCGAGGTGGGAGAGGTTTGGAAAAGTAGTGTGTTGGTTAGGGTGGTCCATTTTGGAAAAGTTTGTCGGATTCGTCGGGCCGGGTCGGAAATCTTGTTGATACTATGACACAAGGATGTGTGCAAAATTTTATTCCGATCGGATAATTTTATCCCGTCCCGCAGAGCGACCAAAGTTTCCCCTATGGAAAGAATGTTACGGGGCTGAATGGTAGTACGGTTTCTCCCGTACAGTAAGGATTTTGTTTTGCTCAGTTCGCAC